CTTGCAGCCCCACGACCAGGTAGCGGCAGCCTTTGCGCAGAGCTTTCCCCACGTTCTGCGGAGGGAGAAATAAAGGCAGGTCACGGGGAGCAATCGCAGAGGAAACGGCTCCGACATTCCCTTCTCCCCCTCACCAGGTCACCGCATCAGGAGGTGGTTGTCTCCCACCCCTAACTGCGGCTCGTGCTCGTGGACAAACATTTTGCCATCTATTTTTATGTACGCATGTATCCTTCTGTGCATACACACTACTTATTTCCCACAAACACAGGTTCTGTTAGGGACACTTAAGAGCCCATAAACTGTTGAACAAGTTGGCAATAAATCACAAAGAATATTTTCATGAAAATTTCATTCCTTTTTGCCATTCTCCATTTTCCAAAGGAGAATGTTTTGACCTGCTTTTAGGTCGAGAAGTGTTAGAGAACTCATTTGTGTGCCACACTAGAGATAACTTGCTACATATTATTTAAAATAAAAGCCTGAATCTAATTTTAATTTCATGCGTTAATGAAACATTAAACATTCGCTAAATGATTGGCGAATAACTGGAGAATTAATACATCTTGGCTCAGTTTGGGGAAAAAGCAGAGCTATCTGCTAGTCAGGAACACTTTATGGCTGCCCAGGACTCGATCAAGCTTGTCCCTTAAAATGTGGCAAACACTGAAACACAGGATGTATTTTTAAATGTACGGAAGTCAGTGAAATCCGGGCAATACTTATTATATTCCTAGAGTTTAACTCACTGCACAGTCACATTAAATAACCAGAGCTCTGCACGAGCTCCCTTTTGCGATCTTTACCCACATGGAAACTTCTTTGCAGGGAGTTAAACAGCAGAATGAGACCTGGGGACGGGGTTAGGGACCTCGGGGCCTCCCTGTCCCAGGTGCACCCTGGCCGAGCGCGTCCCTCTGCCTCGTGCTGCGTGTGACTCCCCTACCCAAACCTCGCCAGCGCTTTCGAAAATTGCTGTTTACTGCCAAAGGTAATTTGGAAAACCTGCCTAGGGCTTATAAACTCCTCCGGGTAAGCAAAGCCTCACAGCGTAAACTAAGCTTGAGAAAGCTTCAGAATACGTGTATTTACTGTGACCTGGCAATCGCAATGTGGGAAACGCTAAACGTCAGATCCAGCACAAGAGAAAGAAATAAGTGCCCCCTATTCACCCCCTGTCAAACAGTAACGTTTGCGGGACAGCTCACCACTATGCTGTCATATGGAAAGTCTACGCATTTCAGAAATAAACCCCTTCCCCAACCTAACTGCATTTTCTGGATGTCAAACATGGCAATTGTATATTTTAACAAAATCACTGTTTCTTAAAAACACAATTGGCAGTTGGGTCTCACACAGACACTTGTCATCTCTCACGTGGGAGACGATTCCAGATACGGGGCAGCTTTCTCCCGGTGACAAAGTT